TCCTGGTCCTGGCGATAAATATTCGGTACCGTCGCCGAGCCAACGGGCGTGCGCCGCTGTTACTTTACCTGCTCGAACGGGACTTGCAAGTGAGCCGAAGTGACACATAACCCTATTGTGGAAAAAAAAAGGGGGGGGTGAGAAGTGGGGTGGTGGGTAGCAGTTGGGAAATTTTCTTGGCTTTAGTTTTAATGTTACTTGAGCCATTTTCGCTGCAGTACACAGGTGCCTTGCAGAAAAGCATATTGAGATTTAGAAGGGGCTGTTAGCGCTAGTGGGACATTTCAAATTTTGCTCAGTTACTGATGCGTTTGTACGCCGTACAATTCTTAGTACCAGTATAGTTACTGACGTTTAAATAAGCCACTGGCAATCATTTGAAGCAGTGTATGAGATTTCTGCTTCCATACCTTTAAAAAAAAAAACTAAATTGTGTGTCAGTTTCTTTTTTTTTTTGCCACCCCCACTTTTCGGTTTCACAAATCTCCCAAATTTCAAGGTCATGAGCTTGGTAGATTGATATTTCAGGGTGCGTACAGATCCTTGAAATCTTTGAAAACCCTTGATTTGAAAAATGCATTTTCAAGGTACTTGAAAGTCCTAGAATTTTTGCCATCCTTGAAAATCCTTGAATTTCATGAACACTGCCCTCTCATATTGACATCGTGACCTCGGAAATGTGGTAGATCAACGCGTCAACCTGTTAAACTGTTCATTTTCGAAGCAGTAATGCGGCGTGGGCGCACATGGTCTTATTTTGCAAAAGTACTTGTGAAAATAAAAAGTTAGTTTTGTGGCGAGGGTGAAGCAGTGAATGCGATAGCAAGAAACTAGAATGCCACACGAAGAAGGTCTAGCAACTTCATACATGCAATGTGCCGCTGAAGCACAAAGGACGCACGAAAAGAAAGAAGCCCAAGAGGAATGCTTATGAACAACCATTACAGCTCGACTCTGGAAGTGTGATGCTCAAATGCCTAGAAAGATGCTAGAAAAGAACACACATGTATCCAAAGGATGAGTGTAAATTAACCACTGTCGCAGTTGTTACTTCGTGGTTGTTGAGTAAATTTACTTCTTGGTTGTTGAGCGATTTCAAGTCACTTTCCAAGTGTACCTAAACGTTCATTCTCATAATCGAGGCCCATCGTGAGCACGTCCAACACTGACGTAGCTCTATAAAAAGGGCAACGAGAGTTGTAGCGACGTCGCACCAGATCTGTTGTGAGGTCAGTGGAGGTCCAGGCTTTTTTGTCGCGTACGTACCGGGAAAGCATCGCGGCTGCTGCAACTAGCGGCGCGTTTGTTTTGCAGATGCTTGTGTGGCACATGTGTGCGAGAGCAGACGACACTCAGAATGTCATGTGCAAAGCTTTGTAATCACGTGACTAATTCAGCTACACTGCCACGTACCTGCCCAACTCGGTGCCCACAAGTAGAAATTGGAAATTGTCCATATCAATGAGGCGATAAATTATTCAGTGAGAATAAATGAATCTTGGTGCATGTATTGTGCTTGTTTGTGCTATAATGAACGCTTGCACCAAAGAGCGTGCAAGCCACCAATATTGTGGCACGACTCCTTTAAGGCCTGACTACACGTACGTGTTGAAGCCTGTTAGTGCGTAACTTTCCGACACGGCATCGTGCCCTCTCCCTATTGAAAGGGTGGAAAAGTGTGCTAGAAGTTCTTAACACTATGCTCTTTTTTTATAATTGCAATATTCATATATTTATCTTAAGTGCAATAAAATTGGTCTTTTCTGAAAATTTTAGAATGAAAAATTTCAACTTAGCATGCCGCTCTGAGTCCTTGAAAAACTTGCAACAGGTCTTAGAAAGTTCTTAAATATCCTTAAATTTTCGCTTTGGAAACCTGTACGAACCCTGTGTTAAAGCTCGCAGAGCCTGTCAAATAATTTGACAGGTGCAGCAAATGCTAATATGGACTTCATGATTGTTTGCTCAGTGGGGTGATTTAAAATACTACTTTCACTGAAATGGCAGTGCTGATGTTCACACTGCACGATTTAGTTGATGTTGAATGGTATCTACATATTTTTTTTCCTTAATGTAAGCCTTCTTTTTTGTACTGCATCAAATTTGGTATTTCTTGATAAAAAAATGCTTGTTTTTTTCCCCAAAACCTGCTCCAAATTCGGAGTTTAGTGCTCCAAAAGTAACAATTTGCTGCTTCGAGTTGTACTTCGGCTGTTTCACACCTGATCATTTTCAAGGCAAGCACAGAATACACGAGTAGTATATAGGTATTATCATTTTTTTAATCAAAAGTATATACCAGAGGTGTACAGTTTAAGTGGGGATGCAAATTAATAGTAAATACAGCAATCCTGGTCGCGTTAGATCCAATCCAATCCACATCCTAAGTAGCTTGGGCCTTATCCGCTGTAGTGAACTAGAATATACTCTAGTGGCGATGCTGATCGAGCTCAGGTGTCTTTCTTTTACACCGATGCCATGACGTGGTGCCACTTCCACATTTCCTAGCAGCTTTGGCTGCATTGTAGGACTATCATCGGCTTCTTCAAACTTTCAGCTGTAGTTAATTTTAACTCGTGTGCTTGCATTCTGCCAAACAGCCAACTTGCTCACTCTCTGGCTCGGATGTATCCTTTTGGCCAAATACACATATTTTTTCATATTTACCGCACGCATTCAGAACATTCTGAGCACGTTCGGTACACTTATTTACTTATTCTATAGGATTGCCTCATTTACTTATTCTATAGTATTGCCTTTTACCACTCGTGCATCTGTTTCTAGTGCACAGAGTTTTTCAAGCAGACGTAACGGTCATGGAATTTGCTTTAAACCATCATGGAAAACCTGGAAAAGCCAGGGAATTCTGAAAAAGCAAATTGGTAGACACCTTGAATGCGTAACTGTTGCTTCTTAGTGTAGACGTGAAAGGGTACACCTACTAAAGAAATATGTTTACTGATGTTTCGGCACCTGCTACGGGAGCCTTGTTCACAGTAATAGCCATAAGAAAGGCACAGAGTATCTAAGTATGCCTAAGTACTTGACGTAAGCACCGGGACTACATTGTCTGAAGCATTCCATCACTCCTGTTCAGTAACAGTAACACATACGACACACACAGTAACACACCCGAGTAACACACACGACACTCAGCGCTGTGTCATGTGTGTGTCAATGTTTGTGTGAGTGTTTGCGAGAGTCAAGGTTGTGCTAAATATTAGAATATAACAAATAACCAACCAGCCCAACAACAAGTTTTATTGAGCTGTGATATCGAAATCACCACAGTGGAAGCAGGGTGCTTTTTTTTTTTTTGTTGTTGACCTGCTACTCTCCTTTCTTCACTACTCCTTTACATCCCACACTCCCCTAGATGCTAAGACATGTCTCACCCTTTATGAGCTTTACCCCACTCAAGAGCATTTTTCATTGCCAGTGCCATTCGTAGGCGTTCTAGGAATCGTAGGAGTTGAGTGGGTTAATGGCTAGCATAGTTGGCAAACCCATTTGTGGTGGTGTTTAACTTCACCACCTCTAGTTCACTGTGTGGTCGCTAGATGTGGCTGTTTGGAAAAATGCAATAAATTCATTATTTTCTGCTAGTTTTTTTCTGAAATGAAAGTTGTATTTGCTTATTTTGTCACCTTTAAGTTTGGCTGAAAATCTCAGCGGCAAAATTTTGGTTCAGTATTTTTTTAATGGAACTCTTGGTTTAAATTTCCTGTGTTCAAATAGAAAAAGCCACACGTTTGTGCTTGTGGATTGATCATGGCAATAGCTGGTGTGTAATCATCGGATGATTCAGATACTCTTTAGCATGCAGTATCACGTATTAGTGCCTGAAAAGTAGGAAAACAAGAAGCAAGCATTCTGCAAGTACTACAATGTAGAGCGTCAGTTCCTTATTGGCATTTAAATTTTTCTCTGGAGGGTCATTAAGAGAACCAGAGAAGAAACTTCTTTTCATGTCAATAATTCATGAAATCTTGCATCTCCTTTTATAAAATGAAAGTTTGTGCTATGAAAAATTGTATAGCATCACGTCTTTTATTGCATCGGAAACAAGCCTCAGGTATGGGAGATTGAGCAATTGGCAGTAGTGGTATCATTTCATCTTCCTGGCATAAATATATAGGAACGTTGTGTGTACAAGCTAAGTTGTGGTGATCGCTGATCAAGCAACCGCCCTGGCAAAGTAACATAAAAACCGCTTGTTAATGTTGTGCCCAGTTTTTATGTATGAACAGTCTTGAGGCAATGAGTAGCGAGGGCACTTATTTTAGTCTGATATGCACTGTGCAAAGGCTAGAAGAAAAGGTCAGTGCCTGTGTTTACCAGAGTGGAGTACACTTTATTATGATGAATCATCAATTATACGCATAGTGTGACTTGCTCAAGTCGTATAGTTTCCATGTATTCTTGGATTATGAAATGCTCTTGGGATTATGAAATGCTCTTGTAAATGCAGTGTCATAATTTTTTACTGACATTTACATTATTGCAAAACTTGGCTGGTTCACCCAGTGCAATGCATCAATTCCAACAGCTTTGCTGACTGTAGCTCTTATACAGTATTTACCAAGTGGTGTTCAGTGTCAATGCGTCATGTTGGCAAAGTATATCTTCTGGTGTGGGTTGTTGTAGGAAACAGCCCTGACAGCTTCTGGCATCTCAAAAAATTGGCAAGATTAGCATTGTAAGTGGCACAGCATAGCAATGGTGCCTGTGTTATGGCAGGAAACTGGAAACTATAAGCATTGTTGTTTGGTTTCCTGTGAAATATCTGAAAGCATTCATACCCACACCCATGTGCACACGCACGTTGTTCCATACACAGTCAACTTGTGGATTAGCACAAGCGGACTGTGCATGTAAAAGAATCCCAATTCAGCGGAAATAGGACTGGTATTTTCCAGATGAGAGCTTCTCATACAATGCAGGTTGTTTTCGGTATGTGATTCTACTTACATTTGAATTTGGCACATATTTTCATGCAGTGTTAACAGCCAAATTCAAGCAATTGAAGCCAAGCTGCGTGCCATGGAGAGAGACAAAGAGAGGGACCTAGGTCAGTGCTTGCTTGCTACACCTCCTGCCCCATCACGGCCTGCAGCAGTGGAGCAGCCTGAGAACCAGCACCAACTAAGACCATACCGGCACCTCCAGAAGACATCACGATGACATTATACCACTGTGCTACATGTATAGTTCAGTAGAACTACAACATGAATCTTGTCACCTTACCCGAGATTTCCATTTTTAACCCATTTTTCAGCACTTGATTGTACAAAATCTGTGCTATCTTTTACAGTGTGATCAGTCATGAACCTTTCCTGAATGTGTTCTTGTTCTGGACTCGCCTTGCATTGTCACTTGAGGACCCTTAAATGGATTACACTGAAGACAATTGTATATTGAAAAGATGAAATATATTTCTTATTGCCAAAAGTGGGCTGGAGAGTCCTGATGTTTTGTTCACTGTCAAAAAAAAATGTTGGTTTGGGGCAGTTTCAACGGCTCCTATTTGTTTACAGCTCAATTTTGGTATGGAGAGTTAAAAGCTTATATAATGGTTTACAAACTATTTTGTAACTCTGACATGATATGGCTCATAAAACTTAATCTTCTTATATGGCGACATATTCCCACAGTAGTAACGTTTTGTATCTATGGTGCATGAGCAAGTTTTGCCACAAGAGAGATTCCTTTCGCATGCAAAATAGTAATAGGTTTACTGTTGTAGTGCTACGGTACGCATATTCAAATATGGAATTTTAAAAGGCATACTGAGCAAAAATACAGGGTGGATGTGCTGCGCCAAACCGCTTTTGCTTCACCATACTGCTCCAAAATGCATTATTGCACCGAAACTGCTGCCACACTTTCTTTGGTGCCTTTATGTGCCATCATCCACGACGGGGCAAGCCCTAGCGAGTGTCTATCATCATTATCATCATCACCTGATTCACCCTCCGTGACGCTGGTGATGGCGCGAAACAGCAATCTTGCCTGAAGGAGGAAGCAATGAATGCTATGGCAACAAATTGGAACGTTATGCGAAAAGGGCTATCAGCTAACTCTTTTGCATCCGATTTAAGATTCTTCTTATGTGTTTACCTGCGCACCCATTTTTTTTTCTGTACTTTAGTGTTTGTCTTAAAGACCGTTTGAGTACCTGCCATTTCACATTATTTTTAGCTTTTGTTTTTATATTTTCAACAGTTTATTATTGTTATTACTATTATTCCTGCTGGTGCAAATCTCACTTGGAGGCAAGTGCAGAAAAAGAGTGGCCGTCCCATGGAGGCTTTATAGAACCTCTGGAGTGGCAGTCCCACCTCCATCAATGGGAGCATGCGAAGCCACCAGCAGCCGTATTACTATAATCGCGGACCTTTTTTTTGTGACAAAGCAGCCATTGCTACAGAGCCAAATCGTGCATATCCTACCACTAATGAATGTAGTCCTACAATTGTGTCTTTGTTTTCGACACAATATATAAAAATTTCGCGTTTTACATTCATTTCGTTAATTAAAACGCAGCTCACGCACTCGCAAAATGCCCCACGAACGACACCAAACTCTCATATAAGCAACAACTACAAAACAATTTTTTCACCAAATTTGGTAGCAGTCTGGCAACAGTTATTCCCAAAGTCTGGCAACTAAAGTATAAGACGCTAAGGTGGCTAGATTGGGGAGGTGTGATGACCGGCCTCCGAAATAGTGCCCAAAAGCGCGTTCCTGCCACCCTAAAGACGGCTAACGCATAAAGTTTCTCAATATACAATATACCTCCATCAATGGGAGCATGCGAAGCCACCAGCAGCCGTATTGCTATAATCGCGGACCTTTTTTTTTTGTGACAAAGCAGCCAATGCTACAGAGCCAAATCGTGCATATCCTACCACTAATGAATGTAGTCCTACAATTGTGTCTGTTTTCGACACAATATATAAAAATTCTGCCTTCTTTTTTTTGCATATTGCTCTTTGACACAGGACATAGCTTTGTTTAATTTATATTTGACGTATTTGTTTTAATTTATTTGTTGTCACATCATGTTTCTGAACGCATAAAAAATTTGCAGCTTTTACTGTACCTGAAATGCCAAGGGACTTCTTTATTGATATGAAATGCTGGTCGCGCACAGCCATCACTTTTCACGGGAGTACAGAACGCGTTACATACCGAACTACTTCGCGTAGTGGTACATGTGCAGAAGGTCTGCCCCAGGAGCTTTCCCTTCATTGCCAAGACAAATTGTCCGCGAGTACAGAGTGAAAACGAACAAGACTGCCATAGACCGTAATGGAATACGCACGACGTCGGTTTGGTTTGCAGTCCCAACATAAAAATGAGATGGAAGCCACTTTGAGGTCAAATGTACAAACAATTGCCTTTTCTTGTTTATAAAACAAATTATTTCATGCACTGATTGTCAGCTGCAGGCTTTCAGAATAAACAGTTGTCATAGGGATGCTTCGCATATCGTGGTTGCTGGTGCACTGTAGTCACACATGTGTTTCTGGGAACGAGGTTTTTTTGGGATATAACGGTGTCAGGGCTCAAGGAGAAAACAAAAGCTAATTTGAAATACACTATTCACTCTAGATAAGCACAGATCCATCACACCAACATTTCACTAACAGAAGGATGAAAATTTGGGCAATTGGTGATCATGTCATTTCTGTTAAGCACAGCGCATATTTTTAAACAAAAAAAAAAGCAAAGAGAACAACACGAGGAAGCTCTTATTTTGTGTTTGACCTCTCCTATTTGACCCCATCCTCGTTAAATATGCACGAGGGACTTGACAAAGTGACATTTCATTAGCTCCATGCGAGTCATTAACTGGATTGAGGGGTTCAGCCCCACCCACTTTTATTGAAGAATTTTTCACTTGCACACATTTGTGCATATATATATATATATATATATATATATATATATATATATATATATGTGTGTGTGTGTGAAATCTAACAGACAAAAATGCTAAGGAAAGTATAGGGGAGGTTATTAGACCAAATTGTATGGTAACTGTGAAGAACTTGCCATGGGCAGGAACCGAACTTGCGACCTTCGAATAACGCGTTTGATGCTCTACCACTGAGCTACCACGGCTGCTATCCTCCCAGCCACTTTATTGGGTATATATGTGAATTTAAACGGATTGTCAGTCAGCGCCATCTGTAGCCATGGCGGCGAGTGTGGCACACTCCTTTATGAGCCTATGTGGTGTCACGTAGCACGGGAACTTATTACGAGCTGGCAGCTGACCAATAGTCCCTCGTATACAATCTAAGGCACCAAGTCTGCCAGTACGAGACCCTCGTTAATGAATAAGGGAAAGAAGTGGATACTTAAGGGCTCATTTTCCGGTGTTTTGACACAATATTAATGAAATCTAACAGACAATAATGCCAAGGAAAGCATATGGGAGGTAATTAGACCAAATGGTAAGGTAAATGTGAAAAAGAAAAGTGGGTGAAAAGATGACTTGCCGTGGGCAGGAACCGAACCTGCGACCTTTGAAGGTCGTTATTCGAAGGTCGGAGGTTCGGTTCCTGTCCATGGCAAGTTATCTTTTCACCCACTTTTCTTTCTTCATAATTAGCTTACAATTTGGTCTAATAACCTCCCCTATACTTTCCTTGGCATTATTGTCTGTTAGATTTTATTGTGTCAAAACACGGGAAAATGAGCCCTTAAGTATCCACTTCTTTCCCTTATATATCTATATATATATATTGTCACAGGTAATGGGTATGAGCCATCGAATGTAGCGTGAAATCGCTTGGAAGTAGAGAAAGAAGAGAACATTGCTTCCTGGTCTGGGGGCGAGCAAAACTCGATTCGTGACTGTCTGTTATTTCGTTCGTGGCACTGGTGGAGGTGCTGGGTAAATGTCCCTCGACTCCAGATTTTCAGCCGACACACCGAGCTACTTGGAGACAGCTACAGCTCCCACGGCAAGAAGCAATCGCCGCCTGCGAGGACTATCTCCCGAACACGGTCCTCTTTCTTAAGACAAGATTGCAACCTCGACTACCAACCAGGTGAGCGAGCGAGTCCTGAGTCAAACCAACGACGCCCATTCTTTTCTCCCGCATGTTTTTCATGCACCGCAAACACCACGCTCATTTCATGGAGACATTTTTGAGGATGTTGATGACTGGCTTGACTACTTCGATCGAGTTGCCAACATCAACAAATGGGTTGAAGCTCGCAAGCTGCGGAGAGTTTGCGTTGGAAGACTCTGCCAAACGTGGTATGAGAATCACGAGGGTTCCTTTGCGACGTAGCAAGAGTTCAGCCGACAGTTTCGCAATGCGTACCGCAGCGCCGAAAGAAAGAGAGCGGAGCAGGCCATTTCGTCTCGGAAGCTAGGACCTAACGAGAGAGTTTCGATCTTTGTCGAGGACAGGCTTCGAATCTTCAAGCGTGCCGACCCTGTAATGTCTGAGGAAAAGAAGGTGCGGCATTTAATGCGTGGTGTAAAAGAGCAGCTCTTCGCCGGACTCGCGTGCAATCCACCTACGACTGTGGTTGCGTTCATAAATGAGGCAACCACAATGGAGCGTACTCTCCAGCATCGGTCATCACAGTATGAATGCCACGGCATCACCATTGCTGCATGCTCTATCGGGGCTGACAGCGAGAGGCATGCCCTTGCAGAGTTCATAAGAAGCGTCGTGTGGGACGAGCTGCGCCAACTCCAAGCAGCGGGACCCCAACCACCCGTAAATCCTCTCGCAGACTTAACCCGAAATGAGATCTGACAGGTGGTCACTTCACTCGCGCCAACAAGGCCTGAGGCCCCTGTGCTGACTTATGCGGCGGCCCTGCGATCTTCTGCACCACATGCTTCTGATCCCGCTATGCGGACAATTGATCAGGCTAGCCATCGATTACAGGGCACCTCTTCGACTCCGCCACCCGCCTCAAGGTTTCCGAGGCCACCCACTTATCAACGACGCGTCGTCCGCCGTGCATTTCGCGAGTGTGTGTGCGACGAAACTAACGGAAGGAACCGCGCGTTGCATAACCCGGAGCGTGTTCTCTTGCTGTGTGCGCAGCTGTGCAGTTAGAATTAGAGATCGCGTCTCAGTATTAGGGACGATGAGGAAACTGAGTCGCAGCAGGCGGTGCGTTGCCCCCCCCCCCCCCCTTCTATATTTTCACAGCTGATCAAGCCGCGTCGACCATGCCCCACGACGGGGACGCTAGGCTTATCCTAGCAGTGTCAGCAATCGTGTACATATGAAGAATAAACGTGTCAAGGCTGGATAATTGGGGTGCGTCGGATATACACACTCGCGAAATGCACGGCGGACGACACGATCTCTTAATTGCACAGCAGCGCACACAGCAAAAGAACGCGCCCCGACTTATGCAACGCGCGTTTTACGTTCATTTCGTTAATTAAAACGCAGCTCACGCACTCGAA